GCAAGTTAGGACTCAGTTATTGGTGCGTATGTTCGAGATTTCTTAAGAGAGCCATTGCAGTTTTCTCGGCCTTTTTCTACACTAGCTCCTGAAATCTCTCCCTCTTATATAACTCCAACGTGGTAAGTAGCTAGGGAGTAACACCGCTAAGCGACCTGAGCAAAGCAGTACCATTTTGAATATTGCCTGCAATTGTTTACAATCCCGTGTAATCCCACAAGAAGAGACAATTTTGTACCCAGCAATTCTTTTTTCCCTTAAAGGCAATATTTTGGCTTTAAAGGCATGAGTATTAAAGAAGACAACGGTATGACTCCACCGGAGGGCATGAGCATCTCGTATTCCGAGACGACTCCGTATCGGGAGTGTTCAACTTCAGTAGGCGCATATATATTTACCATTCACAGTTTTGGGTAGTTTCATAGGGTAATTATTTATCACGTTGCGCGCGCTAGTGTTATGTTTTGAATGCTGCTTTTGCATTCGTTTTTACACCCAGTCCTTTGAAACATTAAATATTATAAGCAATGATGATATGTTGATTTACTATCATCTCTCTTAAAATCTTGGCTGTTAATGTTGAATAATAAATGCCCAAACAAATGCGTTGTTTACCGTTTTTATGGCTTTATTTGTGATTTTTCTTGAATTTCCTTCGGTGAAATTTTCCAAAATTTGTACGGTACATTGGATACGGCGGGATAAGAATTTTAAACACGAAAAAAGTAGGGTTTGTAATGGAAGTTTTTTAGATTTTGCAAATTCCAACTAAAGTAAAATATTTATTACCAGTCTGCCAAATTTTACGGAATTTCACCGTAGGAAACGCGAAAAAATTCACTGTCAGAGTCGTGCCGTACCTCTTGTAACTTAGACTGCTTCAAGATCTTAGACTCTGCACCTACCAAGTACCAAGTTAAGCTTGAGGGGTCTATGTACATCAAGAGGGAAAAGCCTGACCTTAATCAACAGGTCAAACACATCAATTTGACGCTTTCCCTATAGCTGCACGCGCACGCGCATCTTTTTATTTCCGTTAACTTCGAAATTTATCTAGCGTATTGTTTTCCAACGCAATGTAACGTATGATTTGTAACAGGCACGTTTTAAATCACTGTAAACTTTCATAACCGTCACACTGACGATGACGGATGTACCGTCGAAACATGTTTGTGAAAATTAAAAAAGTCGTATTATTTTTGTCAGTTTTGCTTTTTTGCTCATGTTGACGTCGTAAAATATCGAAGAACACTGACGTTTTCCTTTGAGCGCGCGCAGATTACTTGAGCTTTCGTCCTAAGCGCGCGCGCGATCTACAACTATAGGGAGCCACCTTAAGAAAGGGCCCAGCGGTCCTCCATCGAGGTCCTTTCTCGGGAAGGAACAAGACCGGATTCTAGAAGGTTCTAATAAAACTGTGTTAGTCTCCAGAGAAGTTCGGGGTTCGCCTACAACATAGCCTGCGAGCACGCTCACCTTTGAGTCACACGTCAACGCGTGCGAGCAGCGAAGAAAGAGTCTGCGAGCGAAGTGATTTGGCGAGAAGGAGACTGGTGAAGAGGCGCCAGGAAAGTGACTTTTCTGCAAGAGGGGCCGTAGCCTGCGAGCAGGCTCACCTGTTGTTTGGGTAGCGTATCGCGGGCAAGGGCGCAAATAACAAATGAGCCTGCTCGCAGGCTAGAGGGGCCGAGAAAGTCTCGTTTATCACGGCTTCGCTGCTCGCACGTATGCTCTCAAAAAGTGAGTACAGCAATTTAAACAACCTTTCTGCTGTGGGCATGAAGTCCGGAAAAATTATCTTTGTGAAAGCTTCTCGGAGAATCATCTTTTTCAGTGGTTATTTGGTTATTATTAATAATAATGATGATAATGATAATGATAATGATAATGATAATGATAATGATAATAATAATCAACTTTATTTCTTAAGGGTAGTACCAGAAGCATATATAACAGTAATCACTGAAAAACCAATAGCCCTCATATAAATGTTTTCGGAATAAAAAGATGATTGCTTATTGTAGTTTTTCTCTTTCATTGGAGTAATTCCATATCACGCAGAGGTCATACCATTCACCCGGAGGTGCTCCGCCAAATTGGGTGGGGGTGTGCGGCCCGCTTCCTAAAACCCTTACCCTATTTATGACTCGATACCCTGTTTATGACCTGAACCTAAATCAATACCCTATTTCAGACCTGCCTTATACTTATAGTTCCTCAGTTCAGACCAATGTTAAAGGCATCGTGAAAGGTTTTTGCTGATCGCTCTTATCGATAGTAGCGTCCTCTAAAAAACATACTCAATTTAAGAGTGCAAAAACCATACCCTATGTATGACAAAAATGGCTAAAATCGATACCCTATTTATGACCAAAATGGCTGAAAAACCAGGCCTTTGGGGCTGCACATACCTATGTAGCCCGTATAGGGGAGTACCCCTCCCCGCTGGACCATTCTTCACTGCAACTTTTCACGATTCTGGCGCCCGGCACGCAATGCATAATGGTCTCATCCGGGAGCAGGGGTGGTTACTCGTTGCAAAATGGCGGCTTCTGAGCAAGGTAAGTTGTACAGAATGTGCACAGGTTTGCAGACAAATGACCTCGTCAAGGCACTATCGGCTGTTAGCTGAAAAAAGAAAATACTGTGTAATGTCATTGAACTTTTCAGCGCCAGTCTTTGTGCAACCGCAACGGGAAATTTTGAGTCAAAAGGATCTGACAAAGTGAGAGAAGTCTCAGGTTAGATATGGATTTTTTGTTAGTGCCCGTGGACTAAAAAGCACAAAGTTTTATCGTTATGGTTTTTAAAATTTTTCATCTGCGAGACTTTTTACTAAGCGTTTTATTAGCTACCAGAGATGTTCACGGGGCTTACTTTGGTTTGAGAACCTATGGAAATTGTTTTTTGTTACTGCTTCCTGCTCTGCATTGTTTTAATTTTTGTTGTTTATTTTTGTTTCGCACCACGGATCAGGGTACTACTCGAATTGAAGACACACCAGGAAAATAGAGTCCACGGGATCTACCAGTTGTTTTGAACTAGTTTAATCAGCACAAGCTAGCTAGTCAACTGAAAGCAAAGGCATACATGTGGGTTGACTATAGCAATTCTAAAAAATCGGATCTAACCTAGAAAACGAAACAGCAAAAAACATTCTCCAACATATTGTCGATAGAAAATTCGAAAAAAAAGTCTAAAAGTATGCGACACTCAGAAAAAAAATGGTAAAGTTTAGAGTTATTCAAATCAGATAAGTCTCAAAGGAGCGCTATTGTTTTTGCTGTTGTTTAGTTAAACAAAGAACTGTATGCATAATAAATGTATGGGGTTATACGGAAATCTTGCCCAAAGATCACTTGTAGTGCAAATCCTAATTGCTCAAACTTTCATACAATAAGTCATTTATTATATATGAGTAAGAAATTGCAAACACGGGTGCCTTTATTTGCACTGCAGTGCACATCAAAAATTGACGATGAATTGATCTGCTCTCAGCCAATCCTAATGAGATGATTTTCTCAGTCCTACTAATTAGTGGTGGGCTGATGATCGATTATAATCGAAAGCTGATCGAAAAGTTCAAGTGACACGACAATCGATTATGCTTTTTTCATAACCGATTGTCGTGGAAAAATTAAAAAGTTATTGGGGACAAATAAAAGTATTAAAATCAATAAAAATGGTGTGAGTTGTCTTTTTTCGTGGACTCCTAACTTCTAAGTCATAACAGCAGATATAATCTAAGATTGAATGTGTTTACCTGTGCGTACCTTGCGCACTGTGTTGTTGTCACTTCAAATACACCACGCTTATCTGAAAGATGTGGTATGCTAAGCTGCTTTGTATTTCGTAAACAACTGAACCAAAACATAAATTACAAGCTCACTGTTTCGCGTTTGTAGTATCACTACTATCACTAGCAAATGAAAGGTATTAAGAAACAACATCGCAGCAAAATGTCACCTCAAATTAATTCCCAGGGTCCTCTCTCAGACCTGCCTCGCTTACATGTCACTGAGCGAGTCCAACATGGCAGCTGAAATGGCCGAGTTGGAGATCTGTCGTTATCCTGGAAACGCCAGGTCAAAAGTGTGGGAATATTTTGGTTTTTATCAAGTGAAGGAAGGGCCCAAAACAAAGGAAAACTTGGATATGACGAAGGTAATCTGTAGGCTCTGCAGAAAGCAATAAGCCAACAAAGGTTTGTGGCACGTGTGTTTTGTTGATTTCGTGTCAGTCTCATGGAATGCTTATTGGTACATTTTTCCGATTATAATCGATGATCGATCAGTTGGGGCAAATCGATTATTTCCGATGATCGATTGTGAAATCTCAACCGATTCCCACCACTAATACTAATAAAGACATGTAGCTTTTCGCAACTGCACAATATTGTTGAATGTTCTAGATTTTAAGAGTTTGTTATGTTTCCCTGTTTTAAGTCAATAGTAGATCAGCATGCTACTGTACTGACATATAAATATTGATTTATGATTTTAAAAGCTGACCTTGAGTCCTGCTTCCTCAGCCATACCATCAGGGTCTACTCCTGCCACATAGATTCCTAGTCCATATTCAGAGCCACCACGAATCATCAGCACTAGCTTTGCACCATCTTCTACAAATATGTTTACCTACAAATAATCATGAAAAACAGTGATTCAGAATGACAAGGATAATAACAGTGATAGCAGGTTCTCAATATAAGTACATTGTAATTCAAATAACTAATTCTCACAAACCTTTCTTTCATCGTCATCTCCTAGTAGTCTTAAATCACTTTTATGTAAGCCATCAGCAGTCAAGATGCGTCCATTTGAGTCCACTCCAGTGGGTGGTGATGCTCTTTGACCTCTCATGTCCACCCACTTGCAAGTTGCCTCAGCAACAAAGCTTACTGGAACACGGCCTACTGGGCGCACAATTGGATTGAGCTTCTTGCTGGTTTGAATAATCTGTGAAGAAAATGGAATAAAATTTAAGCAAGACATTGGTAA